AAAGCTGGGGAATTCTGAGAGTTGAAGTCCACACATCTTAAAGTTGCTCAGGTTGAGAAACCCTGTGTTAGAGAATAGGATAACATGGAAAAACAGCACCTGGACCATAAAACAGATTAACCCAGAATTTTCATTTGAGACATGAATGACTTGGCTCAAACTATCATATTTTGGACATGTTACGTGGAGACCCAGCTCCCTTGAGAAGTCCACAATGTTGCAAAAAGTTGAAGGAAAGAGCAGAAGAGGACAACCAGCAACCAAGTGGATAGACTTGATTAAAGATTGTTGGGAAACCTGATTGTTGGGATCAGATTATCATGGAGAACATCTAAGTGGTCACTAAGAGTTGATATTGTGATGGCACATAAGCAAATTGGCACATGTGAAGGAGGAAAAAATGCCACATTTACCTGGAGGGGGGATGGGGCTCTGGAAATGGGTGTTGAGGGGTACACAACAGTCAGTCCTGTGAATGGATCACCAATGGAGACAGGGAAGGAAAACATAAATCCCTTAGTTTAGTTAGGGCAACGTGAACAGTTTCTCCACTAACCCTTTCACAATTTTGTTGCTTCGGATGATCTCCACTGGATTCTACAATTCGAAAATAGTGAAGAACTTGTCTCCCCACTAACTTTATATGCTCCTATCATGCCCCATTTTATTCTCCTGATTTCTCAGCTGCTCCTGCCCAGAGAACACGTGAGGATAAGGGATGGCTGAAACCAGGTGCAATGACAGCAAGGATGGAGGGTCAGGCTTGTCAAAATCAGAGGCGTCCTAAGCTGAGGAACCATCATAAACTTTAGCTGTGCTAGAAGAAGGCTCTCAGGTTGGTGGACAACCTCCTGCTCTGTCTTCCTTGAGAAAGAAAATGACCAATAAAAGGGACAGGAGCAAGCCAAAATTTGGGGGGCACAGGGCAGGAGAGTCACTGCCAAACATAATGCAATAATTGAGCAAAAGGTGCACAGAGTTTGTGCTATCATAACCGTACCTGGTAAATTCACACAAGATGTCAAGGAAGGAGGGAATGGCCTTGAGGGACAGGAGGAAGAGCCACAACCAAGGCAACAGTCAGAGAAAAAGAATCTGAGTCTGGGGCAGGAATGTAACCTGAGAAAACGAGGGAGGGAGGGGAAGGTGCATTCAGACATGCAAGATTCTGTTACTGTAACTTTACAATCGAAGTAGCATTGGCCTACATGACTTTGGTTTCATAGTCAGGTCTACCTTGAAGGGCAACATGTACATCCACACCACACTGCAGCTCCCCAAACAACCCAAGAGTGGGCTGGGAGTAAGTTCTGCCTTTGACGGGATGGTCTTCAAGGGGTAATGTTACCCCTTAACATTCACGGGGAGGGAGCTACTGGGGAAAAGGGGTGACTTTAGTCTCGTAAGGTATTAATTTCACCCTTTAAGCTTCCCCCCATAGCAGCACTGCACATTCTAGTTGCGGAAAAACAGCCATTAGAGAGCAGCATTGCTGGTTCACATCACCTGTGGCCCTCAGGGACCCCAAATGTTACAGTGCAAAAACTGGCATCAGGGTTTGATTTGACTTTGTACATGCTCAAGAC